CCTAGGGTTGCTACATTTTATGTAAATACAAAAGTCTATACTATTCTACTCATAATAATTGTATCCTGAGTCTGTGTGTATCTGTAATATTATACCAGCCATGGGAATCAACAGCCAAAGAGGTGTGCTTTTTCTTCCAAAGTTCAGAGTCAGACCCTGCAATTACTTATGTTTGGGGAAGTATTTCCACAGAAATGAGTGAGTAGAATTTCTCCATCAGTAGTGGGAGTGGGGTTCTTGCCACATCTTGAGAAATTTTCTAAGACTCGCACAGGAGATAAATGGTTTTATTTGTGTGAAATTATATTCCTTGGCTTCCAAAGTCCCAGTTTCTATAGTCCAGTCCTAGAAGAGGGGTATCTGTAGTTTTAACAAAGCTAAAAGCAGGACCAGTGTCCAGAGTTGAGTCTGGCAGAGCATCAGGCTAGATTCAGTCCATTAGTCCATTGTATGGGTCCTACAAGGTCATGAGCCATGTGGGTGAATACGGAGGAGCATGCCCCACTGCAACAGGAGAGCCAGGAACATGGTCAGCAAGGCAGGGAGCTGGGGGGGGGGGCGGCAATTACTTTGTTCAAGAGCTTCTGTATCTCAGACTTCATGCTCTTGCAGTGGCCACCCCTATTCTAGTCAGTTACCTGTTTCCAGGTGTGATTGACAGGCAAACATCTTCCCATGTCACTCAGACCTTACTGGGCATGTGTCTAAACTGCCTTTGGCCAGGCCCTTTTGCCTTCAAGGGTCTGCGGGGAACAGACCTGGAAAGTGTTGAGTGCAGCTTCCTGGCAAAGCTGTGTGAATGTCATGTCTGTATTGTCTGGTCTCCCCTTTGCTCCTTTCCTGATAAATAACCAGGTTATCATAATGGTATCAGAAGGACACAGATAAGAATATTAAAAAGTTGCCTGGCTGGTGTGGCTCAGTGGTTAAATGTTGACCCATGCACCAAGAGGTCGCTGGTTTGATTCCAGGTCAGGACACATGCCCGGGTTGTGGGCCAGATCCCCGGTAGAGGGCATGCAGAAGGTGGCTGATCGATGTTCTCTCTCGTCCATGTTTCTCTCTCTCTCCCTCTCCCTTCCTCTCTCTCTAAAATCAAATGAAGAGAAAAAAAAAGAATACTAAAAAGCACTAAAAGAAAGACTTGGCTGTTCTGAGGGTAATTTTTTAATCAAATTGTCATTACTTTTGAATATGATCCTAAGCACCTATCCCAAAACCTTAGTTTGTACATGTTGGGTTCTTTATGTGATAGGAACAATAGTAAAATAAACAAATCTTCAAATGCAGTGTTCTTAATCCTGAGTCATTTGCAAATTGGTGCCCCTGACAGCATGAGTTTTTCAAAACTCCGCGGTGTGCTGGGGCCAGCTTGGCCTTGTTGGAAGCCAGGTTCTCCAGATAAACAAACACTGTTGGGCAAGGAGGGACTGAGATGTTTGTCATTGCATTGGGAGTTTCATTGGCTGTGGCTGTAAACAGTGATGATAAGGTTTGAGGGAAAGGAACGAAGGGTCTGAATTCACATGAGACCCACACGGAATGTCTGGACTCAGAGCCTTTGGAAACAAATCGAATTTTAATTATTTTTCAAGCTCTCTTTGCATCTTCATGAGTATATATTTGTATTACTCCTAATGGCGGTGTATTGCTGTTATTGATTTATTGATCTATTGACTGATTGGGTTAGTTTTAGCTAGTATTTACTGAGCATGTGCCGTATCAGGAACAGAGCTTCACTTTTAACATTACATTTAAATCCATACCCACCCAATGATGAGACTCTGTTCATCCCAATTTACAGATGAAAAGTTGGGGCTTGGAGAGGGGAAGTAACTTGCTCCCCCAGGTTGCCAGCTGTAAGTACAGTAGGCTGAGTCAGGTTGTTCCTACCACAACCTGCTCGTCTGCCTCTCATTGCATCTTCAAGTCTAGCCACCACTTATCTGAGCTACTGGCAAATGTGCTTCTGTTGCCCGGGAGGAACAATGCTTCTACCTATATTCATGGAGAAGATCAGCAGAAAAAAAAAAAAAAAAAAAACCTCCTGGGAGTGGAGCCCAGGGAGAGTGAACAGGGGAGAAAGTGACTGAGAACATAGACCAGCATGTGTGTGAGGTCTGCAGGGGGCAGTGGGCAGTAGGGCCCGTTGTGGGGACCGAAGCTGAGGTGTTAATGGGGAAGGAGAGTGTAGCTATGCACCATGTCACCCACACCACGGGGGAGAAAACTGGTGTAGTATTTGGAGGTGGAGGAGGGAGAGGAAAATAGTAAATAATGTTTCAATCTCAGAGTCGAACTTTTCATGCAAAAAAAAAAAAACTTTAATTCATTTCTTTGGCCAATAAACATTATGATAATTTTCTTAGAATTAAGTTGAAGATTCTAAGAATATTATGTTCATGTGTTTTGGGGGGGTTTATTGGAGTTCTGCATTGTTTTCATACATTTGCTCAATGACCATTTTAGTGCCTGGCCTTCTGTCCTTGAGATGAGCTCACTGGATTCGCATTCACTTTCCAGGTTCACTCATTTCTAGGGACCAACGCTAGTTAAACAGTGGACGTGCCATTTTGCAAGGTCCTTATAATCAAGTCACTAACGATTAATTTCCAATTGATTATTCTTTGGAAGTGTATTCCCAATCACTTTTTCATTATCACCCTCTAAGGAGTTTTTTAGACATTTTTTTTTCCACTAATTGTCCTTATCTCATAAAATGTTAATACCACAGATATACTGTGTATTCATTTAAGTATTGTGAGCTGTCGGTAGGTCATAAACTTGTAATAACTAAGATCCGCTGCCTCCACTCGACATGATCATTGCTGCTTTGGGGGAGGTGTCACCCCCAGAGATAACGCATGCTCTGGAACATTTGAACAGCGAGGGTGGCCCTTCGAAAAATGGTGTTTGCCTCTTACAACTGCCTTCTGCGTGTGCATAGTGAGCAAGTATCCCCTTGCCACCTCCCTTGCCTAAATACCTGGGGGTGGACCTGCATAGGAACATCCAGAGGAGTCTGCTCACCATTGCCCGAACAGAAAAAATGAGGTTCCAGGACACGCCTGACAGCATCAGTTTTTGGAAATGAAATGCACACTTCAGTAGTGTCTAACTGAAAAAAAGGTGTGTTTGAAAATTCTTTTTCTGTTAGCTTTAAGGAAGAGCAGGGTTGAAGTAGCTTGCCTGTCAGCTGTGGAATAAGGATCAATAACATGGTTTAAGGCATCCCTCTGCCACTGTCAGTTAAGCGAAGTCAATTACCTAATGTGGTTTCCCCTGTTCATCGCGGTGTCCAGTAATTTTATGCCTGGTGTGTCTATTTCCAAAAGGATGTTTCCTGGAATAGTAAGCATGTGGGTGGTCGTGATGTTTGTGTGCTGGGGCTGCCAAACAAGGCCCCGCGGACTGGGTGGCTTAAATGACAGAAATGTGTTTTCTTGGGGTTCTGGGATCCAGAATTCCAAGGTCAAAGGTGTCAGCTGGCACTTTCTTCTTTTGGCCTCTCTCCTTGGCTTGTGGAGGGCTGTCTCCTCCTTGTCATCCCTCTCGGTGTGTCTGGGTCCTAATCTCCTCTTTTGTTAAGGGCACTTGTCATATTGGATTAGGTTTACCCCTAATGACCTTATTTTAACTTTGTTACTTCTTTAAAGACTCTCTTCTCCAAACATCAGTTACATCCTGGGGTGTGGGAATTAGAATGTCCACATAGGACTTCGAGGGGACACCATTCAGTCCACAGCATCATGTAAGAAAGGGTATAAAGAAGCCAATGTGGGCCTCACATGCAGACTTCGACTAAGATGTATCTGTTCAAATGCCCGCTATGTTTCTTACTAGCTGTGTGTCCTTCAGCAACTTACTTGACCTCTCCCAACTTCAGTTCTCTTTAGAAGTACAGTAAGTCTCCCTGTCCCAAATGGTTTTTGTGAGAATTCTGTTGAATTAATTAATAAAAACTATAACTAATAACTATATATACATATCTAGCACAGCATCTGGCTTGTAATTGCTTTTCCCCTTGACTCCAGATTCAGACTTAAGTGCATTTAGAATAGTAAGACCAGCAAACCAGTATACACTCTATATATTGAGTACTCCTATGTACATACTAGGAGGAAAGTTCGGGGTGTTTTTCTATAAGGTCTATAGATTTGTTAATTAATCCCACAGTGTGTCTTGCACGTGTACCATGTGCAGGCACAGACACACTCTTCTTATCTACTGTGTAGCATTCTTACTGTCCATACCCACAACAGCCCCTATATTTCTTCCAGCAGATTTCCCTGGCACTGGGTTTCTCTACGATTTAATAGAGAAAAAAAAAAAAACCTGTCTCAAGTCGAATTACTGCAGTTGAGACAAAAGTTTCTCTGCTCTCCAGAAAGAGCCTTCCCTGTGTCCGGTGACTGTCGTGCGGTATCTCTGTGCTGGTCCACATTGCTAATTCAGCTAATTGCAGCAATTACACGAAGAAAAAGCTGCTGGCGAGAGAAGCCATTACGCTACTCCCGAACAGACTGCATGCCACAACGTTCATTAATTATGCCAGCCAATAGATTCACGACCGTACTCTTGAGACCGCACACCGTATGCACGTCAAACCCTCCCAGAGCGGCAGTGTTTCTGGGCTGGCTTGTCTTCTTGGATCGCCCACCCTTGGTCATGGCCCTTTTCCTGCCTCTCTGATTCTCCAAGTGGAAACCAAAGTCAGAAGAGAGTCATGTGATGGGATAGGTATGAGTCTCCTAAAGCCAGTTTGGGCCACTTGGCTTCCCGTAAAACTCACACAGATGGTCCGGATCCAGAGCGATTTGCAGCTATACAGGAGTTCAAAATTCTGCATCGTGCAGCATGCCTTCTTCCGAGAAAGGCAACAGTAATAATGAGGGAGGCAGGACACAGTGATAAGTCATTTATGCTTTTGTTCATTGGTTTCCTTATCTCTCTCTCCTCTCTCTTCCCCTACCCCATTATTTTTTCTTTGACATGCACAGCCAACATCAGATGACCTTGTATCATCTGCTGAATGTTCAAGCGATGATGAAGACCTTGTTGAATGTGAGCAGAGTCAAGGTAGGTTAGGTCAGTCTTCTTTTGCTTGCTTTATTTTTTCATTTGCAAAAAACAATACATACATATATGTGAATATACGTGTGTTTTATATATATTATAGTGTGTTAATGTGTGTGTTTTCTATATCTATATATGTATAGACATACATATATAAATATTAATATATAATTTAAAGCATCAAATCCCATGGAAGGAGTAACAAGGTCCCAGGGAAATTTAAAGTCGGTTCCTTGATAGGGAAAATTCCACGGTATATGAGCTAACTTTGAGCAATAAAACACCCAGACTGACCACAGGAACAGTATATGTGTAGCAACCAGTTGGCAGCTATGAAATTGACAGGGCAGGGTGGAGGCATGAGGAGCCTATATTGGAACAGCGTCAAAAAAGCATGAACCCTAAGTGGAGTTCATCATGATCATTTAAACCTCATGAATTGTTCTGAACCTAAGTGGAAAACAAAACTCAAAACCAAACAACAACAAACACATTTTCCATGGGATTTAAACAGCAGTTAACATGGTATTATATTTATACTAATTTTGTTCCTTGGGTGTTTAGAGAATTTGTGCAGCAATAGAGCAAACACAAAATTAGTACTGAACCATGCCATGTCAACAGCTAAAATGCTTCAAAATGTATTTACTGTGCTTAAATTGAGAGGGCTTTGGCAATTAGACGCTTCAGTGTGTACCCCATTTGCACCCAGATACATTTTGATGTTTTACGGTCTTTCTTTCTAGTGAGCTATATATGATATAATGTCCAGCAGTCCCTGTTTCCCATCAACTTCCCCAAACCGTCTGTTTTGAGACTTGCTATAAGTTAAACATTTATATATATTATATATAATAGAGAACAGATATCATCGAATTTCTGTGTACGTTTAAGAGAATTAAAAGCTGGAGCTGGGTTAGGATCTTATTTCTGCAAAAGCTAAAAGAAAGAAATAGAATTTTCTAGTTGATTCTCTGGGTTGCTTTAATTGTTTCCCCCGTTCCTTTAAAACAAAAGGGCAAGCCATTAAACATTTTGTTTTGCTAATTCTAGAGAACTTTAAGCTTCATGAAGAAATGATATAGCACAAGTAAAAATCTACTATTTGTGACCCCGAAATGATTTACGATTTTTCACATTTTGTGGAAGCCTGGCTGCTGGTGTCGCTGCTGGTGTCTTGCAGGTGGCTTTGGATCCAGGAAGTTCTGTGGGCACCTGTCCTTAGCGTTGCTTAGGGACATGACACAGTGTGGGGCCTTTTCACTTTAGAGGGTGATCTGTTCCTTTTGAAACTTAGTTGTGCGGGGAAAAAAAAAATAACTGTGACCTGGTTAGTCAGATTTTTAAAAATTATTGTGTAGTTATCTCAATGTATTAAGTGAGGTTTTAGGTCTAGAGGGTATTATTGTAAGTCAGACAGAGAAAGAAATATACCATATGGTTTAACTTCTATGTAGGATCTAAAACCAAACAAACAAAGAAACCAAAACAAAAGCAGACTCCTAGAAAGAGACCAAGGGGATGGTTGACAGAGTGGGGAGGGCAGTGGGTGAGAAAGGTGAAGGGGAAGGTAGTCAGTAGCACTGTGATAAGTCTGCAGGGTGACCGATGATCACTGTACTAGAATTAGTAGGGTGATCACACTGTAAGGTATAAAAATGGCAAATCACTATATTGTATACATGAAACTAATATAACTAATATAATATTGTATATCAAATATACTAAAATAAAATAAAATAAAATTCTACACCCGAATTTGAAAACCAAGTTTTTATCCATTAATTCATTTAGTCATTCATTCAATAAATATTTCTTCACATTTAGGAAGGATACAATGTATCTAGATTTGAGTCCTTCCTGTTCTAAAAATTCTTATGAATGAACTGTCAGAAAAAAATAGAATAAGGAGCTTTATGTCTAAATTGCTTCACTAACAAATATCTATACATTAGGCATCTGCTAGGCCTTAGGGATTCAGAAATGAATTTGGCAAGATCCCCATATTAACTGATTCCATGGGAAACAGTTACCTAGACTTTAGTCTGCATTCTGTTTCTTCTTGCTCTGCTTTTCTTGCTTTTGTAGCAGTGATCTCTGTGTCCATCTCCATATACAAAAATGTTTATTAAAGGTTTAGATTTTAAGTCTTCTTATAAAACAGAGGCTTGACCAGATTGAAGTATTACCACCACCTTCCCCTACTCCTCCCACCCCCACAGTCATCTCCATAGCAACCTCTGTCACAACACAGACAGCTTTTTCAGATCTCAGATTCACAGGTTTCACCGCTCCCGGCTGTGGGTATAGACTGCCTTTTGGTATTGAACATGAACAGGTCCAAACTTGAACGGCAGCAAACTAAGTCCATTTGCTTTTTAGTGGCTACACAGGTGTTTTCACTGATTCAAAGGCACAGGACAGAAATTCAATACCAGTGTTTTCTGTAGTCATATAACTACTCGGGCTGGGTGGGGGATTAGAGCAGTTCTTAAACAATCTGTTCTGTTCTGCAAGAAAGTATGAGAAGGGGAGATGCATAAATCAGGTGACAGAGTGCCCATCCCGAAGCAGCTAACACGTAGCTCTAAGACACTGTATTGATGTCCCTTGTCTGGGATTATTCAACTCATCACATCTGAAGGATGAGCATTTCTTCTTTCTAATTTTATTTACTCCATAAAGTATTCCTGGTAAGTGATTCAGAGACACAGGGAAATATGTCAGGGGCATACTTCACACAGGAGGGAGATAGGTATTTCTACTGAGGCAGAGGTGTTGCCCTGGGGACCCGATGAACCCTGATGATGGGTACATAGCGTAGCTCCCTCAAGCCTTTTTGTATTAAAAGGGAAATATCTCCAGAGTCTTCACATTTTCAAAAAATGCAGAATAAAAATCAGAAACTATTAAACAGTTGTTTCTGGGGCTAGGTACTGCCACTACCTGGAGAGAAGGTGTCCATTGCTCAGGCAGCAAGGGGCAATGTGACAGTTCCATAACTTTGACCGAAATTGTAAATCTTGAGGTTCTATGTGAATATTGAGATGAAAACCCAGTTTTGATCACCTTAATTCACTATCTCAGTTTCTAAAATATTATTCTTTTCCAGACCTGATGTTTGATGGAAATACACTAACCTTGGCTAGTTACCCCGGCCTTGTTCCATCTTACTTAGCATTACCCTGTCTTTGCTCACTCTGTTAGCAAGCTGATGATTTTCTGGCTGTCTGTTATAAGGCATTTCCCTTCTGTAAGTTCTTTTCTGATTCACTGAGGTCCACTGGAAGCTCTTGCTTTTCATAAATGTGGGCCGTTAAGCACATGCTAATTCAATAACTTTTGTTTTCATGTGAGCATCACATTTTACATGAAATTAGTTTTCTTCTTTAATTTTCTTTAAATCAAAATTGGATTCAAAGCTGCTGGCTTTGAGTCAGAGGTCAGCAAATGCCTTTCACCCCAAGACCCGCTGTGGTGCTCAGGAGCACCATGGTTGTGTAACTTGTCATATCAGGTTTGGAGACAGCGTAAAAGTGTTTGGAGTTTGGTTGATGACAGTCTAGAAACTTTGTAAAGCTAATGGATCTCAAATTTTCTCTGTATATTTGCTCTAAAAAAATATGTAAATGAGTTTTAAAAACTACAACTACCTAAACCATGACGAGACAGAGTGAGCGCTCAATTAGTATTTATTGATTGACTATGTAAGAATTGCAAAGTACCTGGTAATCTTAAAATAAAATTAGAAATTCGTTATATTTCTAACTTCATCTCCCTTTAAACAGCTCAATAAAGCCTATTGAATTATTTAAAATCTATAATTTTATATAAGTGGATATCACCCTTACAAATCCACATTTCTTCAACAAAAAGAACTCCGCTTTGCCTACCCCTTCTGTTCCTGGGAACTAGATCATTGTATAATGAGTAGCAGGTAAGATCACAATTTCTGAACATTTTTTTTAAGAACCAGAATTGAGTTTTTAAAGGATGAAATCGTAATGAAGCCACCTGTAGCAAAAGAAAATATTCAGAAGAACGTGTGACTCACGATTTAACTACCTCAAGTTGAGGCTCAGGACTTCAACTTTCCTCATTTATAAAAGTTGATTATGTTCCCCACAAAGGAAGGCAGTGTCTAGTTAATATTTTAGATTTGTGACTTTGCATATAAATGTTTTCCTTCCCAACTTTACTCTGTTGATATCACATTGTGCAGTCAGCTCTTATTTTATTGTCCTTCATACATCTTTAGATTCAACCATAACAAAAATATAGACCAGCTGGAGAGGATTCAAATAACCACTAGAAAATAGGGTTTTCTGATGAGACTGAGGAAGCCAAATAACAATTAAGATCTTCCGTAAGTTCACCGTAGTGATCTAAAAAAAATTCAGAAATATAGAAAAACTGATGAAATTGACTTTGCATTTCTTCTCTCTTCCTCCCCTCTATTCCTCTCACCGACATCTCCATCTTTGGAAATAAAAATAAAATCAAAACAAATGTATTTTTTGATTAGCTTTTTTATAATTAGAAATGACCAACATCCTGGATTTTATATATTTATAGTCTCAAGATCTAAAAGGCATGGGGGTCAGAGGTCACAGAGCAGAGGAAAATAATAAATGAAAAGAAATGCCTTTTACACCTGAGAAATGGGCAAGGCAATAATTAACAACTATATTGATTATGGAGGGACATATTTTCTGGTTATCAGTTAGCCAGGTTTCTTTGCTTCCAATTTTGTTAAATATCCTTTGATCAAACATCGAGGGACAGCACTTCACCCGAGGGCAGCCATTAAAAGGGAGTCAAGATGAAACATCCATCCATCAATAGGACTGTGCTAAACGACTTTTGCAATGGTTGCATTGAGGGGGATGTTTACACTAATGGCAGTCATACGAGAGCACAAAATAATTCGTATTCCCAGAGTGGCTCTCAGATGCATTTTTACTCCTCAATCCTACAGTTGTTATATTGGCATTTGCAGTGGT